CCCTGCCCTATAATAAATGTCAGGTACATAGCCACACACCCAGAAACATATTTGACACACATACTCCAACAAACCCATGCACGTACTCAATGAATTTACAGCTCGCTATTGGATCATGAAAGGTGCTTCCATACAATTAATGCCCCACATACACATCTATTTACCAAGTCCTGTGAGGTAAAGGCATCCCCTGTATAACAAAAACCCCACATAGAGCTCTAGGTTTTAGGCTCAGTGAGGTATCCATAATAAAGGTAAAAGCCATATTTTACACAGAATCATACACACACCCACATATGCACACACATGTACACAAACATGCTCATGCATACATGTACACAAACCTGCACACATACACATATGAAAACACAGGTGCATGCACACATGCATAAACACACATACACACAGTTGCACAGGTACATGCCTGCACACTTTCACACGTAGACACACTTGCACACATGCAAAGACACATGCATGCACACATACATACACAGACACGCACGCAAGCATGCTTCCACACGTGCATGCACATACACATAAGCCTGCACCCATGTATGTGTGCCCTCACGCATGCATGCACACATGCACACATGCATGCACACATGCACACACAACACATACACACACTTGCACACGTACATGCCTGCACACACATGCACATATGAATGCACCCAAGCATGCACACACACACATGCACACACATGCACAGACATACGCATGCACGCACGCCTACATACACAGAGAAGCACACAAGCAGGATTGCACACATGCATGCACACACACATGCCTGAACCCATGTATGTGTGCCCGCACACATTCATGCACACATGCACATGCATGCACACATGCACGCATAACACATACACACACTTGCACACGTACATGCCTGCACACACACATGCACACATGCACATATGTATGCACCAAAGCATGCACACACACATGCACACATATGCACCTACATACTCATGCATGCACACATACATACACAGATAAGCACACAAGCATGCTTGCACACATGCATGCACACACATAAACCTGCACCCATGTATGTGTGCCCACACACATGCATGCACACATGCACACATGCACACACAACACATACATACACTTGCCCACATACATGCCTGCACACACACATGCATACACATGCACATAGGTATACACCCAAGCATGCACGTACACACATGCACACACATGGACAGACATACACATGCATGCACACCCACGTACACAGACAAGCACACAAGAATGCTTGCACACATGCATGCACACACACATGCCTGAACATGCATGCACAACACATACACTCACTTGCACCCATACATGCCTGCACACACATGCACACACATGCACAGACCTACACATGCACACACACCTAAATACACAGGCAAGCACACAAACATGCTTGCACACATGCACACACACATGCCTGAACCCATGTATGTGTGCCCGCACACATGCATGCATACATGCACACATGCATGCACACATGCACACATTCATGCACACATGCATGCATAACACATACACACTTGCACAGATACATGCCTGCACACACACAAGCACACACAGGCACATATGTATACACCCAAGCATGCACGTACACACATGCACACACATGCACAGACATACGCATGCACGCACACCTATGTACACAGAGAAGCACACAAGCATGCCTGCACACATGCATGCACACACACATGCCTGAACATGAATGCACAACACATACACTCACTTGCACACATACATGCCTGCACACACACATGCACACACATGCAAAGACATATGCATGCATGCACACCTACATAAACAGACAAGCATGCTTGCACACATGCATGCCCGCACACAAGCATGCGCACATGCACACATGCATCCACACATGCACGTACAACACATACACTCACTTGCACACCTACATGCCTGCACACACACATGCACACACATGCACAGACCTACACATGCACGCACCCATGCATACACAGACTTGCACACAAGCATGCCTGCACACATGCATACAATACACGCACATATGCCCACACCGATGCATGCATTCACACACATGCATGCACTCGTGCATACACACATGCACACATGGACCTAACACACAAACATGAACACACGCATTTCAATTTGGAATCCTTCACATTTTTAGTGCTGGCTGTAAGAATGTAACATATACTTACATGGATGAATAGAAGTTTTAAAATTGGAAAGATGTCATGAAAACAAATCAAGATCCAGGACAATACAAATCCATAATGTGAGGTTAATTTAAAGAAGTTAATCATAGAAAGTATCTCAAGAAGTTGGATTTGAGGAATCTGGCTACTCTCATCTAAGCAATTCCAAGCTTACTATGACATCCTACAGGTTTCTGATATATAGTATGATGTCTTCTCTGAGAAACCATGACAGCGCCTGTGCTTGTGCATTTGCCCTCATACGAAACAAGAATTCCTTCTATTACATACAACTGTTGAATTTATGACTAAATCCATTCATGGAAAAATGCTTTGCTTGAGAAAAATTTCAAAAGCATTGGGACTGGAAAGATGGGTAAGCAGTTAAGAGCGCCTGTTGTCCCACTGCCAGGGGCCTCCCACAGATCAAGCCACATCACTGCCACCCACATGCAGAGGGCCTAGTTAGGTCCCGTACAGGTTCCTCACCTACAGTCCAGAGCTCATGAGCACCTATTCTCTGGGGTCTTCCCTTTCTTCTACTGAACACATGGAGCTCAGCCTCATGTTTGGTGGGGGGTCACTGCTTCCAACAGTTCCTGGATGTAGACTCTATCATATGCTGGACTTTGTTGACTCCCCAAGGGAGGCTTGATCCCTCATAGGAATGGGTGGGTTGGGGGTAGGAAGGGAGGAGTTGGGGGCTGGGGAAAGGGGAGGGGGGGAGGGGGAACTGGGGTTGGTATATACAATAAAAATAGAAAAAAAGTAGAGTTTAAAAGTTAAAGAGTACTTGTCGTTCTTGTAGAGGTCTGGAAGTCATTTACCACCACCAGGACAGACAATGCACAATCTCATGTAATTGCAGCTCCAGGAGAACTGACACCTTCTTCTAGCCTTTGTGAGCACTTTAGCACATACACACATACACACAAGTACACATTATATGTACATGATATATACTTATCAGGCATATATACATTACATATATGTACATAATTTAAAACGTGAAATCTATTTTAAGAAAATAATATCTCTGGTTTAAGAATTTAGCAATAGTCTGTAGCACCAAAAGTAAAACCCTAGAAACAAAATTAGGGTTCAAACTGATGATCAGAGAAGCAAAGATCCATCTTCCTCTGTCTCCTGAGTCTTCAGATTAAAGGAGTGTGCCAACACTGCAGAACCTTTATTGTCCAATAGGGAAGTCCTTCCTTTTCCTTCCTAGTTTCCCCAGGTGTTGATGATGATGAAGGGGCTACTTCTGGGTCTTTCAAAAATCTAATGTCTTATCTAGAACTGGCAAGTAGGGATTTGGTGCCCATTGCTGGACAGCACCCATGTCTGTCTTACATCAAGTGATGTTTTAGCTTGCTAGAATTGCAAGCCAGTGCTTGTGTGTGAAATGTGTAGACACACGCTGCCTTCAGTGGTGTGAAATTCCTCAGCAAACATGCTTGATTTCTTGTAAAGGTCCAACCAGTTTCTGTGGTTATGTCCCATAGCTGGTTCTGGGTGGGTCCTGTGAGCTTCATTTAATGTGTTAAATTGATGACCTATGATGGAGTTGATAGCAGCTTAGCTTCCAGAACAAGGAAACGGCTGGTCACAGCCCTCCCAACTCAGTTGTTGATGTCACACAAACTTGTGTCCATCAGCTGTTTCTCAGAGAACACGTTATTTTCTAACACTGAGAACCTCGATCATATACAAAACAAAAACAGTCCTAGCTCCTCTTCTCTTGGATTCTGCATTTGCCTTTTGGTTGGGTGAGACAGAGTGTCCTATAGCAAGGCTGGAATCAAGACCACAACTTGAACTGCTGGACCCCTGTGTCCCCTTCCTAATTTAATAATTGCCATGTACTCACCTTTATGGGCCCTTAGTTGTTTTCCTGTTGACTTAAAAGTGAACCTAAGTTTACTGATATTTTAACTACCATTGGTGCTCCAAGGACCCACAGTTGGTGCCCCACCTCTTAGACCTAAGCCTCCCAGGATTTCTGGTCCGGTTGTCACCAGCTTGTCTGCAGCCACCAAATGTAGGTTTAATTAAGACTCTATTGTTCTATTTACCAATAAAGACCCAAGAGTCAGATACTGACGGGAAAACCTGGAAAATCTGAGAAGTGAAGAAGCAATCAGCTAACCATCCCATTTGAACTGATACCAAACAAGTAAAGTGTCTCTCTGTCTATCCCACAGCAAATGACCTTAATCCCTAAAAACCCCCGTACTCATTCTGTTACATCTCCTTATCCCTATTCCTTACTTCTCCATCCTCTCTATACCCAATTCCTATCAACACTTTGCTGGCTCCACCCTCTGATCCGAGGTTAATTTTATGAACACAGTATCTAGGTATGCTGGCTTTCCCACAGAGCTCCTATAAGAGCTGACACTAAAGAACTCTCCACAGGGTGGGCACAGCTAGTTGGCTCATTTCTCTGAGTCGATGATTGGGAAAAGTGGCAGCCTGATGGCCAGTGTCTACCCATCATCACTCTTAATGTGCACTGCTTCTTATGGGCCAGAACACAATGGGACCACATGTGACACAGGAAACATATCTTCCTGCAGTTACCTAGAGGAATTCTGGAGATCAGTGGAGACAGTTCAGAGTGTAACTCCCAAAGGCTCCTCCTCTTCTTGGGATACATTGCAGGAAGACACCATGACACAAGAAGAAGACATTAGTGAGCAAGTGAACATCACACAGAAAGAGGTCATGAATGAGGAAGGTACCATCACACAAGAAACCACCATAACCCAGGAAGTGTCCATCACAGAGGAAGTGATTATAACCCACCCAAGAAGCCACCACAAAAGAAGCAACCATAACCCAGGAAGAGGATGACACAACTGAAATGACCATGACTCAGGATGACTCTATCACAGAGGAGAATGCCATCACCCATGGCCAGCCTGAGGTTGCTGGCCCAGCTTCCTTCCAAACCCTGAGATGCCCGAGGTGGAAGGGGGTCAAGAAAGCAATGGTGAACTGCCTCAGACACCTGTGCTGCTGCCTGGCCCCTGCCAAGAGAAGCCATGACTCCTGTAAGAACCTAGGTCCAAGGAAACAGGATCGTGGAGTCACCCACAGAACCAGGTGGGGACACTTACTTCATTTTACTCATTCTTTGCCTCCTGTTCTTTGTGATAGAGGATGACTATGCACACTTGTGGCACACTTGTGGCACACTTGTGAACTTAATAACCTGTCCCTTCATACAGACCAATTCCAGAGGATCCCTTCCAGTGTGACCTCAGGCTTGTTGAGCCAGAATTCGACAGCAGAGATGCTGACCAAAGCAGGGAGCACAGGAGGAGGGGGCATCGGTAAAGCAGGCAGTGGGTTGCTTAGGTGCTGCAGGGCCAGCACAGTAAGTTCTGTGTGATCCAAAGTCACTAATGTTCTCTGTTCTGTGTCTCTACTTTGTAGTGCTGAAGAGGTCAAGACCCAGCTCTGTGGATTGTGAGCCATGGGTTGGGGATCGGGCTGGCTGAGATGCGGAATATCTATCCAGGACCTTCTGGCTTTCATAGTTTCCGTGGAGATGTCGAGTGTAATTCTGATATGTTTGTCTTTGTATGTTACTTGGCCTTTTTCCTTTGCTGCTTTTAATATTCATTCATTCTTTATTTTGTATGTTGGTTTTTTTGATTATTATGTGGTGAGGGTACTTTTTTTTGTTGTTCAGTCCATTTGGTGTAAGCTTCTTGCATTTTCACAGGCATCTCCTTCTTCAGGTTGGGAGAGTTTTCTTCTATGATTTTGTTGAATATGTTTTCTGCACCATGGAGCTGGGCTTCTTCACCTTCTTCTATACCTATTATTCTTAGGTTTGGTCTTTTCACGGTGTCCCATATTTCCTGGATATTTTGTGTTAAGAATTTGTTGGATTTAAGACTTTCTTTTATCAATGAATCTATTTCCTCTAGTTTATCTTCAGTGCCCAAGATTCTGTCTACAATCTCTTGCATTCTGTTAGTTATGTTTGCATCTGTAGTTCCTGATTGTTTATTCAGCCTTTCGATTTCAGGCATTACCTGAGTTTGTGTTTTTTTTATTGTCTCCATTTCAGTTTTCAGGTCTTGAACTGTTTGAATTGTTTCCTTTATCTGTTTGATCATTTTGTCTTGGCTTTCCTTGCTTTCTTTAAGTGTTTTGCTGATTCATTGGTTTTTGGGGGTTTGTGTTTTCTTCCATTTCTTTAAGGGATTTTCTCATATCATTTGAGGGCCTCTATCACTTTCAGGAGGTTGTTTTGAAGGTCATTCGTTTCTGTTTCATCTGTGTTGGTATATTCAGGTCTTGCTGGTGTAGAGTTTCTAGACTCTGGGAGTGTCATACTGGTTCCTCTGTTGTTGGCTGTGTTTTTATATTGCCTTCTTCCCATCCCTTCTTTTAGTGGGAGCTCATGGGGTTTCTTCCTCTCCTGTTGGGTTTGGGTCTAAGGATCCCTTCCAGTGTTTTCCAGCAGGCCCAATACTCTGATGGGAGCAAGTGGTTCTGGCACTCCCTCAAGCTCAGGGTAGAGACCACAGGGGACTAAAGACTCAATCCCAGGGCAGGGGCTAAAGCACAGGGCAGAGAATGGAGGGCACTGAAGACTGAGGTGTGGCCAGTCTCAGGTTAATCCTTCCAGGAGGGGCGGGTCCTCTCTAGGCACAGAAAATGCTCAGGGAGATGGAATCAGGGGAATGTTGGTTGTTGGTGCCCAGAGCAGAGCCCTCACTCACCTCAAGCACTGGGCAGGGGGGCCGGAGAGGGCTGAAGACTGAGGTGTGGCCAGACTCAGGGTAATCCAACCCAGGAGGGGCAGGTCCTCTCTAGGCACAGAAAATGGCCACGGAGATGGAAGAAGAGGGATATTAGGAGTTCAGACTCAGAGCAGGGCCCCCACTCACCTTAAGGCCAGGGCAGGGGCCTGAGGGCACTGAAGATTGAGGTGTGGCCAGATTCAGGTGATCCTTCCGGGTGGGGCAGGTCCTCTCTTTTGCAGATGAATCTATTTGCTTTTTGTTTATCTTCAGTGAATGAGATTCTGTCTTCCATCTCTTGTATTATATAACTTATGGTTGCATCTGTAGGACCTGATTGTTTATTCAACGTTTCTATTTCTAGCATCACCTCAGTTTATTTTTTTTATTGTCTCCACTTCTCTTTTCAGGCCTTGAACTGTTTGAGTTGTTTCCTTCATCTGTTTGGGGTGCTCAGGTCTTGCTGGTGTAGAGTTCCAAGACTCTGGTGGTGTCATATAAGTTTTTCTGCTGTTGTATGTGTTCTTACACTGTCTTCTTCCCATCTCTTCTTCCAATGGGTATAGGGGGAAGACTCTCCCTCTCCTGGTGTGTATGCGTTCAGGGGTCTCTCTTCCCCTATCCTCTTTCTTTCTCTCTCTCCCTACCCACGACTCCCTCACTTTTTCCTGGATGGAGGATGGGCGAGACAGGGTGGCCCATGATACTGGCTTCTTTCTTCTGCCCCCTAGCACCTCTAAAATGGTTTCTTATTTAAATAAATGTATTTTTTAAAAAATTCTTTCTTAAGATATCCTATTGTTCCCTTGGCACCTATATTGTCTGCAGGAATTGATTTAAATATGCTAAGATTGTTGTACATTTTGTATTTTCTCAGTCCTACCTCATTAATAACAGTGCTCTCAATGTAAGACTTTATGAATTTTAACTTAACTTACTAAGTGAATATGTATTTACATTACTCATTATATATAAAGACATATTACAGTTGGCAACAAAGAAACTTGAATTCCTGTATCTTACCCATGTTTTTGAAGCATTTCTATTACAATTTTGTTTTGGTTTTTCGAGACAAGCTTTCCCTGTATTGTTTTGGAGGCTGTCCTGCAACTCACTCTGTAGACCAGGCTGGCCTCAACTCACAGAGATCTGCCTGTCTCTTCCTCACGAGTGCTAGGATTAAAGGCATGAGCCACCATTGCGTGGCATTTCTATTACAATTTAAAATGGTGATAATATATTTTACTGGTAGCTTGCTTAAATATGAATCTTAATTTAGAGAACTGAAATAAACATTTGACTTAATACAATTTGTATTATGTTGCTTTCATAATGACTCAATGGAGCATTGACATGCTAATGGTTTGACTATTGTGGTGATGCAATGTTTATGATCTAATAAAGCCACTGAAGATCATACTGCAAAGCTAGCCACACTAGCTAGTTACAGAAGCCGTGCAGTGTTGGCACATTCCTTTAATCCCAAGACTCAGGAGACAGAGGAAGATGGATCTCTTTGAGTTCAAGACCATCCTGGGCTACATGAGAGTGAATCCATCTATTAGAGAAACAGAGTTCATGTCTTAATCCCAGCTTTAGAGAGAATATAAGGAGCTCAGTGCTGTCTCAGTAGCAGTCTAAGATTTGGTGAGGAGCGGTTTCGTCTGTAGACACAATGTCTGGTTCAGGGGATCGCCTCCTTTGTCTGAGCATTGTCTGAGGTGAGGACACTCCAGTGGCCTGGCTGCTTTGCTTCTCTGATCATCAGCTTGAACACCAATTTTTGTTTCTAGGGTTTTTCTTTTGGTGCTACAGACTATTGCTAAAATATTAAACCAGAGATATTATTTTCTTAAAATAGATTTTACATGTTTTAAATTATGTACACATATGTAATGTATATATGCCTGATATGTATACATCATGAACATATAGTGTACTTGTGTGTATGTGTGTATGTTCTAAAGTGCTCACAAAGGCTAGAAGAAGGTGTCAGTTCTCCTGGAGCTGCAATTATGTGAGATTGTGCATTGTCTGTCCTGGGTGGTGGTAAATGACTTCCAGATATCTACAAGAACGACAAGTACTCTTTAACTTTTAAACTCTACTTTTTTTCTATTTTTATTGTATATACCAACCCCAGTTCCCCCTCCCCCCCTCCCCTTCACCCAGGTCCCAACTCCTCCTTTCCTACCCCCAACCCACCCATTCCTATGAGGGATCAAGCCTCCCTTGGGGAGTCAACAAAGTCCAGCATATGATAGAGTCTACATCCAGGAACTGTTGGAAGCAGTGACCCCCCACCAAACATGAGGCTGAGCTCCATGTGTTCAGTAGAAGAAAGGGAAGACCCCAGAGAATAGGTGCTCATGAGCTCTGGACTGTAGGTGAGGAACCTGTACGGGACCTAACTAGGCCCTCTGCATGTGGGTGGCAGTGATGTGGCTTGATCTGTTGGGAGGCCCCTGGCAGTGGGACAACAGGCGCTCTTAACTGCTTACCCATCTTTCCAGTCCCAATGCTTTTGAAATTTTTCTCAAGCAGAGCATTTTTCCATGAATGGATTTAGTCATAAATTCAACAGTTGTATGTAATAGAAGGAATTCTTGTTTCGTATGAGGGCAAATGCACAAGCACAGGCGCTGTCATGGTTTCTCAGAGAAGACATCATACTATATATCAGAAACCTGTAGGATGTCATAGTAAGCTTGGAATTGCTTAGATGAGAGTAGCCAGATTCCTCAAATCCAACTTCTTGAGATACTTTCTATGATTAACTTCTTTAAATTAACCTCACATTATGGATTTGTATTGTCCTGGATCTTGATTTGTTTTCATGACATCTTTCCAATTTTAAAACTTCTATTCATCCATGTAAGTATATGTTACATTCTTACAGCCAGCACTAAAAATGTGAAGGATTCCAAATTGAAATGCGTGTGTTCATGTTTGTGTGTTAGGTCCATGTGTGCATGTGTGTATGCACGAGTGCATGCATGTGTGTGAATGCATGCATCGGTGTGGGCATATGTGCGTGTATTGTATGCATGTGTGCAGGCATGCTTGTGTGCAAGTCTGTGTATGCATGGGTGCGTGCATGTGTAGGTCTGTGCATGTGTGTGCATGTGTGTGTGCAGGCATGTAGGTGTGCAAGTGAGTGTATGTGTTGTACGTGCATGTGTGGATGCATGTGTGCATGTGCGCATGCTTGTGTGCGGGCATGCATGTGTGCAAGCATGCTTGTCTGTTTATGTAGGTGTGCATGCATGCATATGTCTTTGCATGTGTGTGCATGTGTGTGTGCAGGCATGTATGTGTGCAAGTGAGTGTATGTGTTGTGCATTC